TCATTATTTCTTTTCTTTATACAATTTTGAAGTCAATTTCCATCGACTCTCGAGGATCTGCCATTTTGTTTTGACAATCGTCAAGGATTTTCGTCACCAGTCCGCGCGCGGTCAAAAAACCATTCCGAGACTAAGGTTATTTAATTCGTGAAGAAGAATTAACTAATAATCAAGAAGAATTGAAAGTAAAGTAAAGTAGTCGTCGCGATGACTATGGTGTTAATACCAATATTCTATTAAATTCTATTTCACGGGTTTAATGCRCCTACTTTAAAGAAGCATTAACTCTTTTAGCGATCACGTCCTTTACACTGTATTATCCTCAAACCATTTGTGATGTATTCTTATATATTTATTAACAATCCGTGCAAATGCAAGAGATCTSTGAGTATGCAAGACATTGCAAATAGTTTTGAAATCTCACGAGTTTTATCTAATTTTTTGCATATTTTACGCACAATTGACGCTAACCYAGTGTAAAAGAAACTAATATACTATTCCTCACCTGACAGTAAACAGTATGTTTTGTCTAAATGCATTTAGTATAAACATACTAATGRTCTATCACTCATACTGCGCTGTGATTGGCTACTCTACTAATGGTCTAATTTGTGATAGACCACTCGCGGGAAAATCAAAATGGCGACATCTCATTAATAAATTATTTTAAGGATATTTTAATCTGTTTTCATTATTTGACCGATAAGTATGTTTATACTAAAACATAGACCTCTCGGCCTCGTGGACTACGAGCTAATAGCCCATTCGGCCTCGCGGACTCGGCTTCATGGGCTATTGGCGTAGTCCTCGTTGACCTCGAGATCTAATTGTTAAGTAGCGTAGATTTTTAGAAAATACCTTCATTTTCGAAAACTTTTTTTTTACTTAAAAGTACTTGAAGTATACACTCACAAAYGACTACATATTTCCATTGTGACGCAAACTGTGTAAAATAAGCGCGCGCTGAATTAACTAGAGCGGATTTCGTATGACTGTGCAAGAAACACGGTACGTTCGTGCTGTGTCCGTACCGTGTCGTAGCCGTGATGTATTGTTAAATCTTTATTTGCATTTGGAATCATAGAAGGCGAGGCTCACTGACCGTGCCGTGCCGTGCCGTGTTCGTGCTGTGATCCGTGCCGTTGCACAGTCATGATACGAAATCCGCTCTAAAGACTACTAAACACAAGAACCGCGCTCTGCAACCAAGGGATCCACCATTGGAAATGTGACCGGGGTTGAAAAACTTCATATACTTTATTGATTTGGTCTTTCGTATCTAAAGTAGCTTTTTTGTCTCTGTTCAGTGCATTTTTGTCTTGCATCCATGTATTTCAAAATCCAGTTTTCTTGTAGTTATTTTTTCACAAATATTATATCTACATCCCTGCAGGGATGTCAATTAGCAAATGAATGATCAATTAATGAATGGTCACTTAGCAAATGATGCATACCTAAAAAGCCCGGCCATTGTAGCTAGTGGAGCATCTCCAAAAGGTCTCAGTTCACATATTATGAATAATCTAATAATCTTCGARTTTTGTAGCCATTTACGGTTTGGTTTTACACAGTTCTAGTGATATGATAGTGAAATATAAACTATTGGAGACTAGTTAGATTTCATCTTAAAGTAAGTCGTCCGGCTGCTTGGGCTTCCTGTGTTAAGGCTAGGCTGCTCAGGGCTGAAGTTGTTCAAACCTCCAAACCATACACATGTACCGTACTGTCTACCGTACTTTAGCTTGGCTGGACTTGTTCTTTATTGATATGGCTACTGTTTTGGGGCAGTGGCTGGAGACCAACCTGGGTTGCGCTCCAGAATGGAGAAGTAAAGCAACTCCTTCCCTCCACTAGCTTGAGTGCTTACCTTGGGCAAGTGATAGCACACTCCTAGCCTCCCTTGTCAGGGTCACGACATCTGGCGGTATTGCCTGTCAACCCGGCAGCATTACTGGCTTTTGCAGTTATGAAAGTCAACACGACCTCATTTCTGGCACCATGCAACRGGAAATTTATGCAGTCGTCTCAGCTTTGCTGTGCCACTGAACAACATTATTTTCTGCCAAGAGACACTATTGTGCACCGTTTAGTGTCGGCATATCAGGTGCAGCCTCACATTAATGAATGGAAGTGAATTTGAATTTGTCAGATCATACTACCGCATCCGGGGTAGCCGAGATGGTGTACTACCGGAAATTCTTGTCCACGGCGGAAATCTTTTGAAAGCTTTCCTATTCTCAATAATTTCTATGTTCTGGCTCACAGAAAATTTTCCCTCAGATATAACTGATCCAAATGTCACTATCCTTTTTAAGAAAGGAGATCGTAGCCAATGCGGAAATTACCGTGGCATATCCCTTTTAAGTGTTGTTGGTAAAGTCTTCGCAGACATATTGTTACAGACGTATTGCTGAAAAAGTCTACCCACAGTCACAATCTGGTTACCGTGCGAGTAGGAGTACAATCGACGGCATTTTTACACTAAGACAGCTGATGGRGAAGAACCGGGAACAACGCAGAAACATGTACATTGYTTTTGTTGATTTTTCCAAAGCCTTTGACACTGTGAATAGAGAATTGCTTTTTAAGATTTTGTTCGAAACTTGGCTGCCGACCAAATTTTGTTCCCGTGATCAAGAAACTGTACTCTAATGTACATGCTAGACTGATTTTTGGAGTCTGAACCCTTTGCATACAACAGTGGTGTAAAATAAGGGTGTAAATTGGCTCCTACCCTCTACGGGATTTATGCTGCTATWCTGCTTTTACTTGCCTTCAAAACCATAGGRCACCACTTCACGATCAAAATCAGGTTTCGGTATGATKGCGATCTTTTTGATCTGAAAAGATCCTCACCGACTACWTCAGAGAAGCGCAATACGCCGATGACATCGCCATTCTCAGCGACTCTTCTCTTGGCTTGCAATCATTGCTGACAGGTTACAACGAACTATCGAAAATATTAAAAATGATATTCAAAAAACCAAAACAATGTGCATCGGCCCAGAGTCTGATTTATTCATCGACGGAAAGTTGTTGAAGAATGTAAAGCGTTTCAAATATCTTGGTAGCTTTGTCACGAGTGACTGTTCATTAAAAGAGGAGATCAATACACGAATCCAGTCTGTTTCTTCTGCTTATGGTCGCTTACGAAAACGTGTATTTGACTCTCATGACCTCACAACATTAACAAAGATCAAAGTGTATTCACAGTGTCTGATGCCTTTGCTGATGTATGGTAGTAAAACCTGGACTTTGTACCTCCATAACATCGCGCAGCTTCGTACAGTTCAACAGGGTCACCTGTTGAACTGTACGAAAGATTTTGAGGATTCSATGGAGTGACTATGTTAGTAATGAGGAGGTGTTGAACCGAGCTAATGTTTAAGATATTGAAATCATTCTCACCAGAAGTCGCTTGCGTTGGCTCGACCACGTCTCCAGGATGGAAAACGATCGCCCCACTAACGAACTTCTCTTTGGCGAACTTGATAATGGCTCTCGTGCTGTCGGTCGACCAAAACTACACTACAAAGATACATGTAAAAGCCTGTTGAAAGAAGGACGAGTCTTGGACWAATGGCAACAGATGGMTCATGAAAGACCCCGCTGGAGGATCGCCATTCAAAACACCTGCAAAAGACTYAACGAAAAGCGAGTAGATCATTAGATACACATGAAAGTGTGACACTACTTATTTATTTACCTTTTTTTGGCGTACTGGGACATCAGAGGGGTAAGTCCTGATATTTTTAAGAAATATAAAACGACGCGCGTGTCTTCTGTCCTCTGATATAAACACGGTGGAAGTTCGAAAAACACGAGAGAAGCAAGCTTATAAGAAACAAGAGCGTAGCGAGTGTTTCTCTTGCTTCTCGAGTTTTTTTAAATGTGTATTGTCTTTCAGTTATTTTGCTTAGAAATATATAGCTCTCTCCTGGGCGGGTTTAGCATTAATCCAGGGTTATCTCTGTAAGGGTTTGTAAGAGTTGAACAAGGATTAGTGCTTATCAAATATCAAGTACTGAACAACCCGGCCCAGGTTTACTTTACATTTTACGATTTAAAAATCGTGTATCATGTGAGGGGCCTATTGATATTTGATGTAGATTTTAAGAGGGGCTCATTGACATTTGCTTTCCAAAAATGTCATAACCCATGGGTATACMTGGTTTCCCCCCATTGGGGCAAGACATTGATAGGTGCACTGCTCCGATACCTCCATAAACCAAAAGTCTCTCGGGCTCTGATCAGGCACTAAAAAGTCAATTTTTCGTTACAGATGACTTAGAAGAACTTTTTTCATGCATACGTTATGAAACAAAATATGATTTTCTTATATATTGGACTGAGCCATTATTGTTTCATTATTAAACATTTGGTACATATATTACAATTATATTCGTCAAGTCATTGGTTACCAGTAGTTGAGGTGACGCTTTTGGTACCATTTTGTTTGGGTAGGCAATTCCAAACATTTGAAATTAATGATTCTTTCAGAGAATAGAAATTCAACTGGAATTATTTGACATCGATTTTACACTGTATCCTTGTTATTTTGCAAGACTATATGCCTACCCAAACGAAACGGTGTCAAAAGCATCACCTGAACTTTTGATATTCAAAACAGTATTTTACTTTTATCAAGAATATAATGSCACTCCTGATTGTTTGGGTTCCTGTTGTAGCAATTTTTTTCAATTTTATGTTATTTTTATTTATTTCTTTTTTGCTATTCCTTTTTCCCGTTTGCTTTTCACAAATAATTTGTCAAAAACTAAACTGCATAAATAAAAGAGCTATGAATATGATTTCTTTATTTATCTACAGCTTGCTCAACCAATTCGTTTACTTCTAAATTATGTTGAAGAAGAATTTGAAGACAGGAAATGCTTTTGGTCCAGGTACATTTTGAATTATTCTATTTTAATCGTGTACTTCATTATTATTATCAATTCTATTATTAGCTATTTTCGTCTTTTCTCTGTAGATGATATTACATGGATGCACAAAGATATGGATTTAATCTTCAGTTGTTGAAAAGATCAACAGATTTTCAACACAAGATAAAATCTGTATGTAAAATTCTTCTTATCATGTAATCGTCCATGAGTTACTACTAAATGGTATTCAAATTTTAATAAGACTGGCCAATAATTGTATTTTGATTTTTCAAAGTTTTTGTGGAGACATTGATGTTCTTTCATAGAAATGACAACTTATTGTTTAATTATTTCTCAATGTGAATTGTGTCTAATTATGAATAATTATTTTTATAGCTCCAGAGTATAGCAGAGAGAGTTGGATGAAAGAAAAGTTCACTCTTGGTCTTGATTATACAATTTAATGTAAACATTTGATTAGTTGTAATACTATCATATATATAATCATTGATCA